GGAAAAATCCACTAATGAATTACCTCATAGATGCATAAAGTAGGTAGACAACACCAGACGCACTCTAACTGAAAATAGCTGTTGCTTAGGAACGGGAAGAATAAATTATAGCACCTCTGTTATATATAATGGAGAGCTTTTTTACATTTAAAATGAATTAGAATACACCGGACCTATACGTCTCATTCCTGCTTTAGCTGACCATCATCTCATGGAAGCCGAGAAAAGGACTACTTGTTCCTTGCTGACCCAGGGTTACGCCTTGCCACCCACTCAGCAAATCCAGTGTATCAGAACTGCAGCAGCTAATACATCCTGTATATGGCACACTCAATAAACTGGTTTTAATATTAATAATAATCATAATAATGCTTTTCAGTTCTTTTTGAGGAGAAAAAAATCAAGCCAGCAGTTCCAACCATTCAACAAAAGAAAAAATATAGGTTGTACACCTTTGGATGAAGTCATGTTCATGCAAAGGGAGACACTGTACAAAGCACTCAATTTTCATCTAAAGAGGCAGCTGCCTTCGCTAGCCATGCTCCAGCTGTGCCAAAATTGGCCATGTGACTCCTCAGATGTTTGCTTTCTCTTCAAAAGAGGTGTCTCTTTCTCCAATTTATCTGGTGGTGCTTGAGGATTTCTTTCCAATTTCTCTTTGGGGTGTTTTTAAGCAGATTTAGTTGTGGGAAAAGGAGGACAGGACAAAGGCTACTGTGGTGTTTCTGTTCTATCTTTCATCAGCACTCAAATCTGCAAAAGCCCCATGGGAGAAGCTTCCTTATAAAGTCTTCTTTGGAAGTTAGCAGAAGTGTCAGAAGGTAGAGAGATAGAAGTGTACACTGAAGGTCAGGAAGTCCTGTCTTTCTTCTTTGAAAAAATCCTGAAAGCAGATTTGCTTTCATCCACTTGCACAAGAACTTGCAGAACAAGTGCAGAAGAAATGTTCCAAACGATGCTCAGCTATTCCTCAATGAAAGTAGAGAGATTTTAAAGAGAAGAGAGAGAAAGAGAGAGAGCAAGACTTTGTAATCCACAACAGGCGGGAACCCAAGTATGACTTTCTTGACAACAGCTTCCTCACTGTGGAACAACCTCCCTCTGAGCTAGCTTCATCCTTTCAACCTTTAGGGCAGTGTTTTTCAGCCTTGGCAATTTTAAGATGGGTGGACTTCAACTCCCAGAATTCCCCAGCCAGCCATGCTGGCTGGGGAATTCTGGGAGTTGAAGTCCACCCATCTTAAAACAGCCGAAGTTGAGAAACACTGCTTTAGGGAATTGGTGAACACAATCCTCTTCTGTCAAGCTTTCAGAAAGGAAGAGTTTTAACTGGGGGTGGGGGTGGGGGGTAGCAATTCCTTTTCTTAAAAAAAGAAAATGTTGTATTTTGTTATACGTGGCATTGGCTCTGCTTTTCGCTCCTGACACCACTTAAAATGGCTTTATTGAAGCAGTCTGTATGCTCATAAACAAATCAATAAAATAAATGTGGCCTAGAGTTTGACGAGCACATGGCATACAAGTTACTGTTATAAATGAATGAATAAAAGAAAACAAAGCATGGGTGTGCATGACAACATTGCCCTAATGTCCCCTCCCGAGTTTAGATAAGTTTCCGTTATAAGTCTGAAATATCAGGAATTCTTTGACATGCAAGACCCAGTTGGTTCTCAAATGCAGTGAGTTTTGCAAAGGAGTTAAGTCAAACAGCTTTATAGCCATCTTTGAGATCTTTAGGCCCAATACCTAATGTCCATAAGAAAGCCAGCTGCACAGGGCAAAGGCAAGGTCACGTATTGATACCCTTCCACTTTGGATTTACTCATGCTACAGCTGAACATCTACGCTTAATGTCAAAATGGCCATGAACTGTTGTTACTTGGTGCATAAATTCACCCTACACTTATCATATCAGGGGGGGGGGGGGGGGGGGGAGTCAAGTCTTCTTTGAGTTCAACTTGAGATGACTTCATGGACTCGCGTGTACAGTTTTCTTGGCAAAACTGTAAGTGTTTTGCCACTAACTTATTTGGAAACATTTTTTCATCTGCCTGATTTAACTATACACCTGGGAATCCCTGGGTGGCCTCCAAGCTAAAGACTAACGAGGTCTAACCCTGCTTAGCTCTGAGTCCAGATCAGATCAGCTAGGCATTGCCACTTGCAAAGAGAGAACTTCAGAAAGGATGTAGTACATTTTGAACAAGGCAGGAAGTAAAACTAACAGAGCCACTGTAGTGCAGTAATTAAACTGTTGGACTAGGATCAGATAGACCCAGGTTCAGGTTCACTCCCAGCCACGGAAGCTCACTGGATAATTTGGGGCCAGCCAGTATCTCTTAGACTAGTATATCCTCAAGGGGTTATTGCTGCAGAAAAATGGGAGGAGAAAATGCTATCTTCAGCTCCTAAAATTACTCTCTGTATCTTAAAATATTTGGCCCTTACTCTTCATCAGTTATGGCGCTCTAATTTATCTAAGTGGTTCTCACAATACTTCACACAATGCCTTTGTTGGTGCTTCTGAGACTCGGAGAGCCTTGACTATAATCCCTGGTCTCAGTGGGCTAATCTTAGCCACATCTTTTGTACCTAAAAAAATGTACCTTAGCCACATCTTTTGTACCATATTTCTATCTCTACTTCCACGGCAAGAAGACTTTACTTGTTGTTTTATTAAACCTGCTCAGACAAACAACCAAGCTCCGACTTTCACAAGCCAAAATCATAGCCCAAGATTAAACCCAGGCCACGAATCCCTCAGCCAACTGCCCTAAAGAACAAGCTAACCATTTTGTCCATTAACGTGCAGTTAGCTTAGAGCAGTGTTGTCCAAACTTGGCCACTTTAAGATGAGTGGACTTCAACTCCC